CGGCCTGGACTCCCAGGGCAGCGACATAACAGATGAAGAGGAAAAGAGCAGGCTTCCTGCTGGCTCCAGACATGATACAGGCTGTAAATCTGGAATGTAATGGGGCAAGGGAAAAACAGCTGAGTAAGGAATCCGCCAAGAACCCAATGTTTGTTGAGCATGTTTCTTTCCAAACATGAAGCAAGCTATGTTTAAAATGGCTCACTGTGACAATAATCATCTCTTTTTAGAATATTTCCACAACAGACTCGACGTTCACCATGATTTTCTTACCCAGTATTCAGCAAGGATGTAATGCATCACTATTCACTTTCCTGGCTGTGCACTTAAATTTTAGGCAAGAGTAATTATTCTGTTTATCAGATATAATTTCATGATATATTTTACACTCCTCCTGCTCTCTGTGCACACAAATGCACTATAGGTCCAACATCTACATTAGCTGTGTTTGTCATGATGATCCTAACAATACAGCTCTGCTTTCCCTGCCTTTCTTAGAGCAATAATGAATACAATGGAAAACTTTCATGGGAGGAATAGACAAACTCTAGATAGGGCAGAGGGGTGGGAGGGGAAGAAAGGGGGCAGGGTGGTTAGCAAGGATGGTGGAATGTGATTGGTCATCATTATCCAAAGTACATGTATGAAGACATGCATTGGTGTGAATACACTTTATATACAATCAGAGATATGAAAAATTATGCTATATATGTGTAATAAGAATTGTAATGCATTCCGCTGTTATTTATTTTTTAAAAAATCAATTAAAAAAATCACCACATTGTTTTTGACCAAGAAACTGCAGACTTCCACTTAAATGCCACTTACATTCTCTGTTACAAAAGCAGCCTCCTAATCAAAGCAGAGCATTGTTTCCTTCTCGCACTTGAGAAATGCCCTCACACATTTCACTTTCTCAACCTTCATCTCTTGTGACTCTAAATCTCTTGCTCAAAAGCAATACTCTTTTGGAAATAAAATCCTATTTGCAGTGATAGTGTAGAATTTCCTAGAAGATAAAGTGGGCTTTTCTAGAATGTAAACTCCACTTTGTGGTTCCTACCATCAAAGACTAGAAGTGAATGACACATCTGTGTATCCCTCCCTTGAGTCTCCAAGAATAGGAATGGCTACTTCTTCTTTCTTTCACATTTTCCATTAATTTCTATTTAAA